AGTCATTTGGAGAGAGCACTCCGGCATCCCCAAACTCCCAGACCTTTTCCAATGTTAGTAAGAGAGAAATAACCTCTGGGAATATAACTTAATCTGGACAAAGAAAGACCTCATATCATTTTTTTTTTTTTTGGCTGGGGCTGTGTTTGAACCCACCACCTCTGCTATATGGGGCCAGCACCCTACTCCTTTGAGCCACAGGCACTGCCCTGATGTTTTACCTGCAAGATATACAAATAAGTATTGAAAAACAATGCGCCCCCTACTGTACCATGAGGGAGTGTACGTATGCCACCTTTAAGATCTGTTTCAGCTGTGCAATGGACCTCGGGTTTTCTGTGCTTAGTGTCTATCGAAGGTCTGGTCTGCGTTTCTTTATAGTCGCGGGAGCATGCAAATTATTAAAATTTGGTAATGATTTTAACATTTATTAAGTAAAAGGTATTTTAAAGCAGCAATATTTTGGGTTCTCTATGGACCAGCAGTCTTAATGTATTCCTTGTATGAACTCTGAATAAAATAATTAGCTCTGGCAGTCTCACCATTGTCACACATAGATACCTCTGTGAGCTCTTACTCTCTGCTTTTTCCCTTGATTTATTTCTCTGATTTCACATGATGTTTTTGTTGTTGTTGTTGTTGTTTTGCAGTTTTTGTTTGTTTGTTTTTTGGCCAGGGCTGGGTTTGAACCCACCACCTCCAGCATATGGGGCCAATGCCCTACTCCTATGAGCCACAGGCACCGCCCCTCACATGATATTTAATAGTGATGCCACACTGGGATATTTCATTGATGATTCCAGGTGATGTCGTTCACTTTTAAAAGACTTAATAGATATTTTTTTCTTACCCCCAGAACGACTTTCTATCGTGAATATCTTCTCACCAAATCCCTCATACAAATAATCGTGGAACTTTGGATGTCAGTCAGCCTCGGCCATTTATGTTTATTCATTTGTCCACTCATTTATTCATCCATTTAAAGATTTACTCAGCAATTCCACAGCGATACTTTCATTTACTTCTTATTGTAGTAAAGTGTAAAATGATTGAAGTCTTGCTTTGCCAAGATGAGGAAACAGCTTTTATAAGGTCTATGTCTGTTTCTACATAGTCACAGAACCTTGCAGACTGGCAGAGACTGATTATTTTGGCAAAGCTGGTGTTCTCCTACATCTTATGGCTTCACACACCTTTGTTTACTTAAAAGTAGTGAAAAAGTAGACACTAGTAGTGTCCATGACACTATTATACATAATTTTAAAATGAATTTTATAGTTCAGTTACTTTTTGAAAGATAGCCTTAGAGAACCTTCCATCATATAAAGTTTTTTGAAAGGTGGATGTCACATTTCTTTACATCTGCAATTATTATAAAATACACAAAGATGTCGCCAAGGATAAAGTGCCTCTTTTTAAATCCCAACCACAATTTAATAAAAATATGTCCTTTCTTTATTCAGGGCCCTCTAGAATACAGTCTGCGGCTTCTCTTATTGCCGGAAAGTGTTTCTTAAATGCACTTGTGTTTTCGCTCAGCGTTAAAATGTGGTGGGTTAAAAACAGCCACACCAATGAGTATTACTGGTGTCATTTTAATGAAGAATGGGCCTACAAAAACACAGCCAATAGTAAATAAAGAGGACAAATTACAACATGTGAATTTACTTTCTTGTAGTCTGGAATTGACATTTACACATAGCATAATAAGCATTTTGACTTCACCAAGCTGTTTTATTCATGTGTAATAGCTGGCATTTAGTATCCTATTTATGTTTTATCATTAGCGTCTGGTGGGTATTTTCTGTGTGTTTTATTGGTGAATTGTCATGTCTGTCTTCCTATAAAACAGAATTATTTTGTGAAAGGGTTTTGTTGTATTATGTACATACCTACCTAGCCTAAAATAAATTGATGGCTTAGGTTAAAAGTCTATTTGCTGTTTGGGACAATGTAAGCCTAAGTCACATCCAGGTGATGATATGAATGTGATCTTATGGACGGGCATCAAAAACCAACCGTTGTCTGTGTTTTCTTGCCTGCCCTTCTGCCTGTGTGTGCCTTTGCCTTTGACTCACGAGTGTAGAGAAGGACACAAACAAAACTTATTTGCAATTTGCAAAAAATGGAAGGGGGGAATCAAAAGGAGGGGGCTCCAAAAGACTGTAAAATTGTACAGCATGAGTCCTCTGATGCATGCTGTTTTCAATCTGCTGTGTGCCAGTTGGAGGCTTGGGGAGTGTGTGCGTGCGAGAGAAAGGATAACGCTGAGACATGATAGAGTGGCTGTGACCTCCAAGCTCAGCCTGGAAATCCAAGACATTGATTTCACTTAGCATTCCTGCTGAGAAATCTGGCAGAGTTCAGTTGTAATAAAAGAACAAGATTCTGTTCTAATGGTAATGGCGTATGACAGACATATCACTTTGTCTGTCCTCGGCACCAGAGAGGAGAGAATTGGAGGAAGGTCAGCTGACCTGCCTGTGGTGGTGTACGAGTGCTGCACTGAGCTTTGAACTGCCTCCCAGGAACATAATTATTTATAATATTAAATGATAAAGAACCCTTTAGAGGACTCACAGTGAACCTCTTAAAAACTGCAAGCAGGCATTGTATTCTGCAAACGTGAAAACACGAAGGGAAATCTGGTCTATTCAAAATCCGCCTTCAAGAACATGGATAGCGTTTCTTATTGAGTTGTGGGCCCTTGAACTTACTGTTTGTGAACTTTGTGCATTAATGCTAGGCATGCTGTCGTTGGTTAATTTTTCTATTTTTTAAAAATCTCTTGGTTTTATTTGCCACAAACTAAATATAATTATATATATTTCCCTTGCCCCCCGTGGTCTATTTTGTCAAAGACTGGATGATAGAGAGTTAAGGCCTTCAGTAGTTTTTAAAAGTTTTCTCAGCTGTTATACTAAAATGTTTCTAAATACATGCACATTTATCTCTTTAGAATTTATTTAATTTTTCCCCCTTGGATCCTACTCCAAAACTATTTTTTTTAACTGATCCACAAAAGCAATTACATTCAGCTCCTCAAAGACATTCTCCTAGCTCACGTGTGTCCTCACAGCTGAGTTTATGGGTAAATATTAGTAAATAACTCTGAATACAAGTATGAAATCTTGAACTTTCTGCACAAGAGATCCTGTTTCATGGAAATTTAAAAAATAATTCTACCTGCTTATGTTAAATGGTTTTATTAAGATATTGTCGAGGAATATTGGTATTTGAATCTCATATGTAATAATGTTACTTTGAATCCGCTTACATAATTTAGCAAATAAATGTCTTAGTTTATTTGTTTATAGTTTAGCACTCTGCCGCAGGATAGACCAATACACAGTGTATTCAGTGGCTTGCTTTTTTCACCACATTTTTCTTTCTTTACATGATTTTCCTTATATTTTATTGCAACCTTTTAAGAAACTTACACAACCTTTGCTTTATGTCAGTAAGTGATCTTTTGATACGTCTGTGTTCTAAAATATTTTTTCAAAATATAATGGGATCAATGCCAGGCTTTAAACAGTTACCTTAAGAGGAAGAAAAAGTTTCACACATGACTCACACAATTATTATTTCTGAACAGCCTAAGAATTCCATGTTATCAAGAGGTCACCCTATGCCATAAGTGTGCTGAACAGCTGAACTTCACCTTTCAAGTGTTCTATACTGTAAAAGTAGCCATCTCTTGCGGAAATTCTAAGGGCAACTTGTCACTGTCTCCTGGTATTTGATGGAGCCTTATATATTGCTTATAATAAC